GTTACGGAAAATCAATTAACAAACGAAGACGTAACAATATATATATAGATGTACTATACTGTGTATCTTACATGGAAGTGCATCTGTAGAGTTCAAACACTTAAAACAAGTCAATTCAGCGAAAGCACAGTCAATCAATTGCAAATTTTGGGGTTATAGCATGAAACATATTACCTCACGGTAACAATACGATTTATTATCTCGTACTAAGACTAACTTAGCTGTGAAGTACGAGTTTTAAGCACGTTGTGTTCGGTCTAGTAAGAAATGACACAGAATAGAGGTTTAGTTGACAGAGAACTTCGCTCTGTGAACATTTACACTTGATTGAGGCTTAAACTGTACGACAAACAAACCTTCCCGCCTAAAATAATGAAAATCTCCCTTCATTAGCATACCTTGATATTTAAGGGGTGGCACAGTTCGAAACCGCTCGTCTTGGCTTGTTGTTGTGTAGGCTTAACATTATTCATGTTACAAATACAGACTGATAGGACAATTAAACTCTAACTCTAGAGTTACCTGGATAAAACACACAGCTGTCTGAACGATGGTGTACAAAGTAGATGTGGGAACTGAACTTATACTAATGTACTACTGTAGAGGGCGCACTAACTTCAAGTTTTCCAGGAGTTTGTCCCATTTACCGTTATTTTTCACTGATGATAATATCCACTCACTGTATTACTTTATCATAACGTAAATTTGACTCATATTAAATATTTTATTTACTTTTGTATTTTTTTAACAAGAGAATTCTGTGATCAATTATATTTCCAACGTTGCTGTTATCAACCGATATAAAAAATGTTCACCCTACCTTGACAAGCAGGACAACATTCTCCAGGCCTAGGTAGCTGAGGGTTGCGGCATGGAACGTGGCAGTGAAGCCTAGCTTCTGTTAGGATCCCAGACTTAAAGGCGAATTACATTAACTGATCAATGTTCAAATATTGTCATTTATCAACAATTATTACATGTAATGAATACAGTACAATAATTTCGTTAATCAGTCATTGACTATACGATGAAAAAAGTCAAATGTTTCTGTATTCAAAAATGGAATTTACTTACCGAAAATAATTCATAAATATAACTTATTTAATAACTGAATATATATAATGAAAACATTTCAAAACTATACCTAAATTAGAAATAAAAAAGATTCTTAAATATGAAACATACACTGAAAATATTATAATATTAACATAAACGTTAATTATAGCATAGAAATACTGATAAAATACATATAATTTACGAATTCTAATACTATAAAAAACTCAAGGTAGGAATACATTACACGAAAACTTGCCATTCAAGCTCTACAAAACTTAAAAAGTAAATATAAACGACATCTACAGTGTAAAAACGGTACTTCACGTATAATCATTAAATAGTCTTAACTTAGAAAAATATTCGTATAATTATTAATAACCATAAATATAAACGACATCTACAGTATAAAAACGGTACTTCACGTATAATCATTAAATAGTCTTAACTTAGAAAAATATTCATATAATTATTAATAACCATAAATATAAACGACATCTACAGTATAAAAACGGTACTTCACGTATAATCATTAAATAGTCTTAACTTAGAAAAATATTCATATAATTATTAATAACCATAAATATAAACGACATCTACAGTATAAAAACGGTACTTCACGTATAATCATTAAATAGTCTTAACTTAGATAAATATTCGTATAATTATTAATAACCATAATTCTTTTAGTACAAATATTTCTATTTGTAAGCAATAAATCAACATTATTCACGTTATTTGTAGAAAATAATACTCGACTTATTTGTAGAAACGAATTTCATTCACTTTGATAGAAAAAACAACACCTTATTCAGAAAACAGCCGAGATCCATTGTTTTTAGATAGTTATTAATCACTCCCTCTATAACGGAAAAGAACAACAACACTTACAGTAGAAACTAAATCGTTGGTTTAGTTAGTAACTAATATAATTATGTAATATTAATATGATATAAAGTGTTAATTTTATTATAAGGCATTACTTACGTGTGTAACAAGAATACTGTTTATTACCTTGGTTACATTTACACAGTATAAAATATTTCTGTTTAATTGTTGGCATATGATTAAAGACAGGATAATATAAAGAAACGTACGTTACCCGCGTGTATATTTACATAAATGTTTTCAAGATTTTTAAAATATTTCTCAGAATATCATTATTTAACTAATACGGATTTTTGTTAATAAGGGAAAATGTGGTGTGTAGAGAAACAAACATAGACCACCCAATAAGATGATGGTGACGGAGTTTACGTTGTAACTGAATAAAGTGTTGTTTGTTAAGACAACATAGATTACCCAATAAGATGGTGGTGACAGAGTTTACGTTGTAACTGAATAAAGTGGTGTTGTGTTAAGGCTAAGCAGATGAATAAAATCGACACCCGCAAGTAAACGTATTATATACCTTCGTGATTTCACATTTTCCTTCTAAATAAAGTGATGAAGATAATAATACTGATAACAAATAACAATACGAACTTATGTGAAAACAAAAATATTATAATTATTTCCTACCAAACAGGAAATTTAACTGTAAATTAGTAAAGGTTACTAATGTCCAAACATAAAAACGCTGATCGGGCCTTTTTGATTCCTCAAAAGTGTAACCTACAGTATACAAAACACTAGTAAACTGCCCCCAAAATTCGACTAGAGCGCACTATTATATCACTAATTCAATCCTTTAAATACATTTTTTTCTATGTTATACAATATGTTTATTATACTCTATAACTTATACACTTTTTATCGTAGGTCTTGTTTTGTAGATGAAAATCAACAATACTTGAATGAGTATTGTTCATTTTGTCTTCTTTGGTGGTTCATAAACTCTTTTCTTCGATTGAGAGACGTTTTTTATTTCTTTCTTATGAGACCCTCCCCCCCTCCAAGTGTTCTCTGTTTTCTTCTTTTAGACTTCATTTCTTTCTTTGCTTTTTCTGCTTTTATCATTAATTG